CATCTTACAATATCTTGAATTTTGCACTGCTCTCTAATGTTTGTATTTCTCACTCTGTCTCTTCCTGTTTTCCCCATTATTGTTCTTAGGGTTTTCATTTCGGCAACCCTTAGCATCTGTTTCGTTTTGTTGGTATCTTCGCGCACTTCTATGCCATATGTCATGATCGGTCGTATGCAAGTCTTATAGATTCTAATTTTACTATCTGTGCGCATATACGGATTTGACCAGACTATCTCCCGCAGACATCCTGACAGTGCAGATGCTTTGTTGATTTGATTCCTCAGGTCCTTTACTGGGTCGTGGGTGCTTGATATATCTATGCCCAGATATCTGAATTGCATCACCTGTTCTATGGGGTTGTCCTCAACCACTAACTTACATCTGAGCGGATCTTTTGCTATTGTCATACATTTAGTTTTGTTGGTAGAGATGTTCATATTTAGTAGTCGGCTTGTTTGAAAGAACTGAAAGAGCTGCCTTTGGAGATCATCTTCTGATTCGGCAATAATTGCTGCATCGTCTGCGTAACACACCATACCAATTCTTTTGTTGCCCATTCTATATCCGAGATTAAGAGATGTTACTTTGTTGATAATTTTGCCCATGAGAAGATTAAACAAGAAGGGCTTAAACTGTCGCCTTGTCTAATTCCTCCCGGTGTTGGAATATTTTCAGTGAATTCGTCTCCTGCTCTAACTGTGGTTACGTTGTTGTTATTTAGGTTATGGAGTATCTTTGTTATACTGGTCGGTGTTTCATTTTCTATTAATATATTTAGAATGTCTCCCAGGCGAACTCTGTCAAATGCCTTCGTCAAATCAATGAAGCAAATATACGCTGGCATGCCGAACTCTATAGCTTTTTCTTTTATTTGTTTTATTATAAATACTGCGTCTGTTATAGACCGCCCTTAAAAATTATTTATAATTTTAAAACATTCCGGTGGTCGACAAAATAATTAGATTTTAATTCTATAAAGTACATTTGATAGGTGGAGTACTCTTTTATATGTAAACAAATTCGCAAACTTATTTATTCTATTCTTCCTTTGGAATTAGAAAATGAAATGGTTGAGTATGCCGCCCTAACTATGGAGCAACGTTATTTCGGGCTAAGAGCGCGTGATATAAGACGACAGGCCTTTCAACTTGCAATACAAACCTCAATACCACATCCATTTAGCGGAACCAAAAAATCAGCCAGAAAGAAATGGTTGCGACTCTTTCTGAAAAGGCATCCGACATTTTTAATTCGTACACTGGTACTGGGAATGTCATCTGATCGAGTAAAATCGTTTACTGCTGAAAATGTATCCAAGTTTTTTGACCTGTATAAACCAGAATATCTTAAGCTGACTAACCCTGCACAACGTATATTCAATGTGGACAAAACAGGCCTAACAGTTGTTCAGCACAAATATAGCAAAGTAATTTCTATGAGAGAGAAGAAGCAGGTTTCGTCACTTACTTCAGCAGAAAGGAGCAAGCTGATTACTGTTATTACGTGTATGAATACTGCAGAAGTTTTCGTGCCACCATTATTAATCTTTCCCAGAAAAAATATGAAAATAGATTTGATGCTAGGAGCTCCCACTGAAACAGTGGCAGAATGTCACCTGTCAGGTTGGGTGCAGGCCGATATTTTCACTAGTTGGCTTCAACACATAAAATTATGCCGTTGCCAGTATTTTTTGTAAAGCATATAACAGAACATGGAAATATCTTGTAATGGTTCCCGAAAAACTGGACTGAGATAAATAGAACCAAACCATGAACAACCAAATCATCCAATGCGAAAACATACAACTCCTAGTCCACCAATACCTCATAAACAGCTTGTTTCTCCGAAAGACATCTGTCCAATCCCTACATACAAGAGAGATATCACTAAAAAACCACACGGTCTTCAAAATTCCGCTCATTCCCAAGCGACCCAACTCTGCATGAGGACATACAACTTCAAAAAAACCATGTTATTCTATGTGATCATGTAAATTTCATATTTGATGTTTAAGCTAATTTATTTACTGCAGAGAATGTTGTGTGAATATCTATTACACGATCAGAAAATACTTAATTGTTGTAAACGACAAAAAAGCTAACTCACGTCTCGTTGCTGTTTAAGCAATATATTGTATACAAAAAGATGGTATTTAGATATAGTTATTTAAGTGAATACTCACGATATTATAACATACATATTATTTAAGTAGGATCTCTTAGTATAGCACTTCAAAAATCAGGTTACAATTAATTAATTTAGACTAAGATATGAAAAGGAACAATAGGCATCCTTAATGATTGCTTTTCTTTTTTATACACCAAAAATTTCGTTGTAACTATGTGCTAAAGATAAAAAATTAGCACTGAAGATGATAAAAATGTATCCCCGTTTGATTCCATGCATAGTGTATATTTCTTTAGAATTGTTGCCTTTTAACACCATTTCTTTTTTCATTTCCATTTTAATTGAAGGTCGCAGATCCAGAATAACAAGAGAATAAATCATCTTGTAATAAAATTGCTATTCACACATTTATTTGCAGTGAAAACTAAAATTTGTGCAAATTTTTCCCTTTACACATTACTGATAATAATAATAAAAAACAATATATACATAGAAACCTATTTTAGTACAAAAATCTAATACTTGGTATATAAATAATTGACAAACATGGTGAATATCGCAATTAATATAAAAATTACTAGTAAAAGGGGTTCAATTTTGTTTTTAAACAATTTTACAAAATTCAGAAATTCCTGGAAGTTTCGTGACGGAAATTGGAAACTTAGTAACTGAGATGAAGAACTAGATAATGCATGTTAACATTATAATCAGTATTATACTCTTCCTCAGAGTTCGAAAAATGTCTTATTTGGATAACTCGTGTAAAAAGTAGGGAAGACCAACTACTGGGGAATGGATTCACAATAACACAACGGGAGGACTTGAAACATGAAGTACCAGCCCTCTATATTTATACTCCTGGGATGTTTTCGTATTTCAACTACTTTACGAAGTCTGATAGAAATAGCGAATTTTTAAAAGAATATGGATTTGTCACATCTACTATTTCTACTATTTTATGAATGCTTCTTTATCGAAATTTTACCTTATCGAAAGGACTTTCTGGAAGAAACTCGATTTAGGAAGGGATACAGAAGTTTTCTAATAGGACCAGTGGTTTTTAGAAAGAATATATATGTGGGAACGGAATTTTTTCATACAACTAGTGATTTTAGAAGGCAATATAATTAAAAAATTGTAAGCAAGTAAAATCTGAACAATCCAGAAGAAATGTGAGGTTAAAATTAAAGTTATGGAAACAAAATAAGAAAGAAAGATGATAGAAAACTTCGAATGGTACATAATATGAAACAAAAATGTCAGGAAGGCAATATAAATACCAAAAATAAAGAAAATGCACGAAACATACCTAGTGTTGTGGATGAAAAACTTGAACTACCCATAAACCTTTTAATTCCCCCTTTTCTTTATCTCCGTCACTAATGAGAAAATACAAAATATAAAAGATAGTACAATGTCTCAACCTAACTGTAGAAAAGATATTAAGGATTAAAAATAAGTAAATAATACAGAAAATGTAATTATTTATTAATCTGTCTCTGAATAAGGTGTCTTTAATATATTTCGTTCCAAACATTTGCCATTCATCGATAAAAATGAAATTTTTAAAAGATATTGAGTTTCCCCTTTTATTCTAGTGATTGTAAACATTTATCTAATAACACTACAGCATTCAATTTAAAATATTACGCTTTCTCTTAATAAAAGACACCAATACTATTGTTTTTCTTAGAAACACCACAATCAACCGGGATAAACAATATTTGCGGGCCTTTATTTACAGAGAAAACCACCACATAAGCACCTAAATACTGTATGTTATTTAAAAATATCAATACAATGTGTATAGATAGTGTCTGTAGTTCTGAACAGTATAGACATTCTCTATTTCTGTATATATTCGTTATTCCATTTTTATGTAAGTCATGGTAGCTATGATTTTAACTTTTAATGTTAGTAATACGCCAAAAATGTAACAGCAGTCTACATTTCTTTGTAAACTATCTATAGATCTTTATTATAAGCACCTTTCAAATCATTCGAAACTATTTTCGAAAGGTAAGTAAGCAAGGAACGAATTTGAACGTTTCTGAAAGGTTTCAAATGAACTACTGTAAAAATATTACCCGAAGAAGATTTTTTAGAATATACATCTAGCCTAACCTCAAAAATTTAAAGATTTGACGTCATTATAAGATATTTAGGGTAAGTGTATATTAGATCAATTAAAATCACTATATCGCAGATATTTTTGTAAATTGAACACAGCGAATGTTCCCTAGAAAGTAAAAGTAAACAAAGTGCTAATCTGAATTGCTTCCAAAAGGGTTCAAATGAACTACTGTAAAAATGTCATACAAAAAACTTCGTTTAGAACCTAGACCTAACCAAATTAAAAAATTAAAAGCTTTGCAATTTTTATTATAACTCAAACTATTTTTGCAATAATATTTTTGAAAATAGAAAACGTCGATTAACATTTTCGATGTTATTGAGTTTTGTTAAGTCCAAGATCATTATTTTATACTGATCTACTATCTTGATATTATTTATAGTTAGCAAAAGTATACAAAGAACTAATCTAAAAATGTTAAAAAAGGGTTCAAATGAACTACTGTGTAAAATTTCATACAAAAACCTTCGTTTAGAGTCTAGATTTAACCTAACCTCAAAAACTGAAAACCTTCCACAAATTTGAGGTGATTATTGGAACTCAAACCACTGTTATACTAAGTACAAATACATAAGGAACTCATCTGAAATATGTCCCAGAAGTGTTAATATTTATGTAAAAAAGTCTTAATGTATTAAGATTTGTTTTAATTAAACCTTAAATTTTGTTTTTGAAAATCAGCAGATCGACAATATACTCTTACAGTAGTGCCAGTAAAAATATACTGCTTTGTGGCTTTGATTTTTAAATTTTGTTATGGCTATAATCTACTGCGAAGCCTGTTTTAGTCTATACAGACCTTGCGGTATTAATTGGTAAGTTAACCGTCAGAAAAATCTCTTTGCCACATTTCATACGGTAAATAATGTTTGGCGTAGGAGCAATGTGATCTGATTTCTTTTTCCTTAGAATAACAGTCTGTTTATTAGCAAAATAAAATAGTTGAACGCTGAACTACTTAAAAAACAATTCACATACATCTCAAAGTTTGGCTTTATATTAGAGCATTCCATGACGTAGATAAAAGGAATAAAGATTAATATCGATTTTTCTATACAGTGTGAGTTTTGAGTAGAAAACCCCAAAGCATGATAAGCATTAGAACATTAAAAATCACATAGGCCTAATTTTACGATTATCTTCCACTTCTTCTAGACGTCATCCTCAGTTTGAAGATTTTCAACCCAAATAATACACCTGTGTAAATACTTCTCACATTACAATAAAAAGCCAAAATTCTATAAAGAATAGAAGTAATTCTTGAGCCTTTAATACCATATCACCTGAGAATCTTGCAGACTCATCTCCAAAGCGAATCCTTAATAATAGAACAGTTCGGGGAAGTTCTGCTCGTAGTGAGGGACATCTTTTCTTTTTTCCTCTGTGGGACTTCGGTTTTCGTTCGTAGTCAGCGATTTAAAGATTTCGCTTAGTTTACTCTGTAAAACATCATGCTGAAATAGAAATAGAGAATATTTTATAGAACCAAGAGTGTCTAAAATAAAAAGAAAGAAAGGAAATGTATGGTTTGTAAACAAATTGAGTTGTTTTAATTTGGGTACGATATTAAATTCTGATTTGACAACCTATTTCCATATTTTAATGTGTTGTATAGTAGAGAAGAATATAAAAAAATCATTGAAAAGTTAGAATCAAAGTACACGACAGTAGAAACAAAGCAAAACAATAAAAGATTGGAATTTAAAAGTTGAAAAAGACAAGCAATATATATTTACCTTTGGCTGAGTCCTCCGGACTAATTCCGAGAATGTAGCAGTTCTAAAAGTATGGCTTAAGGCTTTTCGTCTTTCGGCTTCCGCTTCTTTTCTAACTTCCGGCGGTTCTGCCAACACCTTTTTCATGCTTTCGAAGTTTAAGTCTTCTTCAGTGTGTTTCTGGAAATCAAAATGTCTTCATTAGGAATCATCATGAAGGATTAAAATAAAAGTTTGTATATTACAAGTTTGAGGGAGGGTATTAGCCAAAATCATAAATCAAGTTGGCAAACCTGATTTATAGTGACTTTTTTTTTGGTACATTGACAGGTTGTTACTGCCATTGATGATCTGAACGTTGTAATTGAGTAATTTTGAAAATATAAAATCGTAGTTTTGTTAATTTTATTTTTAATAAACCTTATTCATCATACTTCTAACCCACTGTTTTCTTTAATTATTTAACAGCTTGTCCAATTCCCGGCTGCTATCTCTTATCTAATTTTCTTTACCAGTACAAACAACGCTCTAGGTCTAACATAAACCAGGAAAAATCAAGAGAAAATATGAACAAGGGAGAATGTACAAACAAAATTGTTGATAAAACCGACATACCAAAAAAAAAAAAAAAAAAAAATGGAAAATACACAACGTGGTAAAACATCAGTGAAATTTCAATGACTAATATCGTGCATTGCCTACACTTGCTTTAAAAACCTCGTGCAGACGACGGGGCATACTCTCAATTTTTCTCCGAATTACATGTTGTGGTATGTTATTCCACCCTCTCACTAACAGATTCTTAAGCTCCTGTGCGTTGTTAGGAGGAGGTGTTAGGGGTTGAATACGTTTTTTCCAATTGTCCCAGAGATGTTTGATGGGATTTAGGTCCGGAGAACTAGCTGGCCAGAGTAACCTTGTCCAAGTATTGCATACTGATCGTGGCAACGTTCGTTCGCGCGTTGTACTGCACAAAAACGACGTCTTCCTCAAGCCCTGCCATGGTATACATAACATGTTCTTACAGAATTTCAGTAACGTACCTTCGTGCAAGTGAGGATCCATTTTCGAGAAGATACATTTTCCCAAGTCATGACCGAGTCTTCACCAAATTACATTCTTGGGGCAATGCAAGCTTGTGAAAATCATTGACCGGTTCTCCTCCAAACTCTTACACGTCTATCGGATCCAGTTGGGCAGAAACGGGATTTATATGGAGTATAACACTTTGCTCCAATCGTTAATTCCCCAATGCACGTATTATCGAGCAAGAGTAGACAATTTCGATGCATAATCGCAGTTGAGGTCCAGTTCGAAGCCTGAACCACAAGGAAACGGTCATATCGTGCCGTGGTTGTTCTTCTTCGCCCAGAGCCAGGTCGTCTGACTAAAAAACTGGTCTCCTGAAAGCATTGAAGCACTCGTTCAACCGTAAAAAGGCGTTCGTCAAGGCTGCCAGGTCTAGGGATTTATCCCGAATCTAGGGATATTTATAAAAGGAACAAAGGGATTTTTTTGATATTTAGTGTAAAATCTAGGAATTTTTGACCGGCTCAAATATTTACCTATATATGTCTAATATAATAACACTTTCTTTAATTCAAGTATAAAACCACTTCGTATTAACAGTATTAAATAAGCGATCTTTCATTACAAATAATTAAACTACTAGTAAACTACTTAAGGATTCTATTATAATATGTCGCTAACTGTCCACGTTTTTAGAATCTTTATTTTACGCTACTAAATAGATTTCTGCCAAAAATAGATTCCTTTCCTACATATTTTCAGAAAGGAGAAGCAAATTCTGGAGCAGGAATTAGGGGATTTACAAAACTCTTAGGTTTTATAAACTAAATAATTAGGGGATTTACAGTAGGAATCGGGTGAATTACAGGATTCATCCAAATATATAAATAAAATTCTCTGCCTCATTTCTCTTCAAGTTGTATTTTGTATTAATTTTATTACGTGAATAATACATAATAATATATTAAATGGAATATTCAAAGCCATAAATAAGTACGTTATTCCGTTTTTGTTAAATTTATTTAAATCATGGCTATTGTACCGTTTAAAAATGTAATGTTTTTGAAATAAATGTATAAAACAACAATTATTTTGTTACATTCATGTTATTATAATATGCAACCATCAATACAGCCTATCATTTTATTCAGAATTAGGCAACCATATATACATTTGTTCCAATCTAGGGATTTTTAGGGATATTTTAATGTTCAATTTAGGGAGGGCAGAAATTTTCACCTGGCAACCCTTAAAGACGCTAATAGTTCTTGTGACTTGCCGTTGAGTATGACCGTCTTTCACAAGCGAAACAATTTGTGCCGTTTAACAAAAGTCAAGGGCATTTTTGGCAAAAAATAAACAATAATAAACACTAATGGTGACAATAATAAAGATTTGTTCGTTGTCGATACTGGTCATTTTGGGAAGTGTGCACTTTTCCGGGAAATCGCCATTATTGAAAATCTTTGTTACAAAGGAAACCGCTAAGCCGACAACAATTCTCAGAATCATGTATCAGTTTGTATTTGTGTTATTACTATTTACGATAAAGCTCAGTAAACAATGAAATATCGGTGATTTTCAAGGTGACTAGGATTTTATGATCGCGAGTGTTGTAAAAACAATTTTAGTTTAAAATATGTTTATTTTGGCGTTCCATTTCCATTTCTAAAGAGGAACAAAACAACGGACTTCATGACATGATTCAAGTTGGCGGAATAATTATCCACTTACCTTTTGTACTCCAGGAGAGCTAGCCGCACTATCTACTTCGGTAACAGCCATATCGACAATACTACCTCTAGCACCATTTTCAATCCAGCTATTTCTTTGGGAACCAGCAATAAGTCCTGGGCCTCCGGCTCCATATGGTGATGTCTGTTGGAGTCTTGAGGGATCTATTCCACTGGATTTTACGAATTCACAAACAGCCATCTATATTTATAAAAGTACTTTCATTTAAAGAGAAAAAATAATTAAGTTTAGCATAAAAAAAACCATTTTTCTAAGTGCGACAAAAACAATACGAATTGATCATGGCTCAGTGTTATATAAAATAAACTTCTTACCTGATCAACCAATAAATGGGGAACTTTATTAGCCACTTCGCTATTTGACGAATAATGTGAGTATAAGTCAGGAAGTAAATGTGGTGCATCTTGTTTTCTCTGTTCCACAATCTGCGACGCGTAATCTGCCAGAGCTGGTATACTAACTACCGTCGGTATGAGCGCTAACATACTGATCACTATAGCGTGGAGGTTGAATTTTTGAGCATTCGACAATGATGTGCTATTGACAGCAAGGCTTTGGATACTAAAACAGAGAAAAACAAGTTGTACAAATATATTTCTCAAGGTTTTTCTCAAAGTTGAATATTGTATTTTTTTTAGATAAAAACTTTCGGATAAAACCAATATTCTGTCTTAAATTTCTAATTTTTTACGGTTATAATGGTAGGTTAGGTCCTTAATTTTTTAACTTTATTAAAAATTGTTCTTTGCTGACCTCTACAGTTCGAAAAGTAATTTTACTGTATTGATGTATGAATTCTCTTCTTATATAAAATCATAGAAGTCGTCAGGAAATAGCTACGTCGGGAAGATTAACTTATTAGAAATGTCATTGTAAACTTCCACGTTTACACCAAATCAAAATCAAAATCGTCGATCATTCCCTTACAGCAACGCGACGCTACGATGAGCTTCGAAGCTGATTTCATCTTTCTGTCAACCAGAACATTTCATAGAGTAAGAACATTTTTTCCTGAATTGATAACGATTTATGAGTTATGCTAATCGAATATATATATATATATATATATATATATATATATATATATATATATATATATATATATATATCACTTCATTGTTTACTACTTTAATTAGTTAACCAGCTAATGTCTGATATTTCATAAAAAACCGTATGTGAGTATGAAAAATGTGATTTTAAGCTTCAAAACAGGTACATTTTTCAATTAAAGATGAAGACCGATCATGAAATCCAATTCCCGTGTCCACACTTACAAATATCGATGCAGTTTATGGCATGATTTCATCACACCGTAGAATTGCCCCAAAAATATCTGAAGCCTTGAATATTTTATAGGAACGCTTATACGATCGATCATATAGTTCACGTCGATTGGGATAAGAGAAAAAAGTTTGCAAAATGGATCCCGAAACTATCCGAAAGCCAGTTTGTTTTTGCAAAATAATGCCTCTTCAAGCAAATCACATGTTGCTATGCAAAAATTCATCAGATCTAGCTCCGACTAGAAAATGTTCCTTCAACGAAGAGGTTATAGAAGTTATAGAGGTTTGCAGAACAAGATAAAGCTTTTGAAGGGTCTAGAGGCGTTGCTAATTCGTTGATATAAATCTATCCAATTAAGATTGCTGGTAATATTCCTTTTTTTGAATTCATGGAAGTAAAAATATATACTCACCCAATCGTCAATTGTAATAAGTCTATAACGGTTTCTGTACTCGCCAATTCGACACAAAGAAGAGCCAAAGTTGTATACACTGCTTCTATATTTTCGGGACTATTGGTATCCATCTGCAGGCTAGTGTAGAGAGCATCATAGATTATAGGTCCGTGTTTGTTGATGAATATCAAATCTGGTCTAGAGGATTTTTCTAATACCAAATTCAAATCCGAGACATTTACCCTGTAAATAGAAATCGATACAATTAATATACACATAATTTGTTCAAGATTATAGTTTTCAGGTGAGTGGAACTCTATTTTCACAGATCCAATTCACAATTTTTCAGACGACAATGACGACTACTTCAACCCGAGTTTAAATCAGTTTTTGACACAGCTTTTCAAGAACAAACTTGTGCCGTTAAAGAAGTTGATGCCATAATGAAGTTGATGAAGTTTTTAATGAGAATTGACCACAATTTAAGATTAAAATACATTTATTTTGACCTTTTGTGGCCCACTCAAGAAATCGTTCTCAAATAGAACGATTTCCGAAGTGAAATACAAAAAGGTTGTTAATTCTAAATAAAAACAGTGAACAATATACCCATAATATTATGTTAATACAAAATAAAATGGACGAAAGAATTATGAAGTATGATTAAATGATTAACAAATTGTAGTTGTAGTTAAAAAAATCATTATTTATTACATTATTTTTATTAAATTTTAATTTTCTTGTCAGTATTTCATACTGCAGCAATTGCAACTTTACTTACGTGGGTTTAGAGAGCTTGTCAAGATTGTGATGCCTATCAATAAGAGTATGGAAAATCTTTTGTACCAGCAGCCTCATATCAGGATCTGGAGCTAACGACATTCGTAACAAAGGCTCCAAAAACGAAACTGGAAACGTTGTATTTAGATGAATTGTCTGATATTTTGTACCAACCTACAACAATAATAAACAAAATTAAAAACAATACGATACCATCAGTAAATAGATCTGTACCTTCAGTAAACTTTTCAATAATATACTTTGTAACAAATTATCAGCAGGTGTTTGATTGTCTACTAACGGGAATGGAATCTTGCTCATGATAAACATCATGATTTCAATTTTCTGGTAATCTGGAAGGTGATTTGCGAATTCTCCTAAGGCGTTTATTAATGCTTCTTGGTATTGCTTTTCTTCAGTTTGGCTAGCTTCGTTTTTAACAGAATCCCTGAGGTGACTGAGTAAAGAGTTTATTATTTCTAGAACTGATGGACCTAAAAACAAAATATTTGATTGTATAATGATAAATAAGAATGTTTTTAATGTAATATTCTAAAACAAGTAGAGCAGACCCATTCTTTCTTGTCTAAGCTATAAGATCTTAAGATGCGACGGTATTATTAACCTATCGTCGTCTTAGACCCAATGCGCGAACTAGCTGCGCAGAACGTCTATTGGGCCTTACTAACTGACACGCAGTGTACTATATGTACGTTACCTACTCAGTTTTGTTCGTAACCTTTATGAGATAACATCAGAACAGAATAACACAACAGTTTTCGCCAAAGGATTAAGGTAACATCAAAAACATAGCCACACTATTTCAAAGAGACGAAAACGGCATACTATAAATTGTTTCGAAGAGTACAGACAACTGATAACGTGCAAATAAGCACAATGCACAAGGAAATATAAAACAGCTCAATATTGAACTGGGTATGGACTCTTAGATCATTTTGATAATATTTTATTAACCCCTGCTCTAACTATTAGTCTTGGCTTCACACAGAACCCTTTGAGGATCCACAGCAAATCATGGAATTTCAAATCAGGGTTCTATAACTGTTTAGGTTAGTGACTCGGCGGTATGTTACGATTATCTGGTTAACCAATCAATTAGCAAAATTGGGAATACACCTAACTTGATTCACCAATTCAGGGCTTTCATTTGGCATATACTGCCACCGGGGGCTTCAGTCGTGGACTAATCGGCACCCCGATGCGTATCGCCCCGCCTCAAAAATCTTCGATTTTTGCTATTGGTCTAGTCATCTGAAAATGTCCTATAGAAACGTATAAGAATATGGGACATTTTCAACTCTCGGCCAGTCTGGTCTCCGCTCACATATAGGGTCTCCGGTGTCCTGGGAGTCCGTTGTCTGGGCTCTGATCTTTTTCTTCGAACTCTGAGACTCTGCGGCTGGACATTGTCCACCTTCTAAACTGTGTTCCATTTCATTTTCCATGTGAGAAATATCAATTATCCACCAAAGATGGAAGTCCCTCTGTAAGACTCCGTGGGAATGTATAAGTGGCCATATTTTTCCAGGCCCTTCCTTCCCATTTGGTGATATGGCGCCCAACAAACAACACGGGCCTGCGACTCAGGCTCTCACTGAGCTATGCTGCAAGCTCCACAAAAGCAGCTACCTGTATCATCAATCTATTTTCATGTTCCTGACACTACCCAGTGTCAGGTTTCAGCGATTGAGAAGTCACCGAATAAACCAGTACCAGAAGCTACTGAGGCCCACGGAGTAGCCGCAGAGTCACTCTATGTTCTACCATATACTAAGAAACCGGTTGGCAAACGATTATGGGTTCCTGATAGCCTAGAGTAGGACGAAGTCGTCGAAGATGAGGGTGCTCGACAGAAGGGGGTATCTGCAGAAGAAGAAGATGACCACTGTAAGCTACTGTGCTGTGTTGTGTTTATATATGAACTATTACAGACTTGATTTCATAAACTTATATAATTTTTTTTAGTAATGTAATTGTATTTCTTGCTATAAATATGTTTCTTTTTAATACATTTCTTTCCAGCCATAGAGTCTTCAAAGAAGGAGATATGTCATCGGGGGCCTTAATCGTGGACTAATACGCACCCCGATGTACATTGCCCCGCTTCAAAACATCTTCGATATTTGCTATTGACTGAGTGATCTGATAATGCCATAAAAAACATATAAATATGGAAAATTTTCAAATCTCGGCCAGTCTGATTCACCATATACGGTCTCTTGTACCCTGGGAGTCCGTTGTCGGGGCTCTGATGCAGTTTTTCGAACTCTGAGACTCTTTGGTTGAACCTTGTCCACCTTCTAAACTGTGTTTCATTTCATTTACCATGTGAGAAATATCGATTATTCACCAAAGATGGAATCTACGTAGGAGACTCTTGAATTGACCGGTCGAAGTAACTCTGTAAGGCACCGTGGCCCTATATGGCCCTATATTGGCCCTAAATGACGACTATGTTTGTTTTATTAAGTATAGTCTAATATGATGTATAAAAAGGATGGGATTTACATGAGATATTTAATTGAAAACTTGTTTAGTTACTTACCCACGCTTTCACCAGCTGCTATAGCAATAATTTTGGATAAAACTCCAGCGATATTAGTTCGTATGGTTGGGCTAGATTTTGTGTTATCGTCAAGATGTGCCATTAGAGTTTCCACTACGGTATATGAGTATTGTGCCTTAAAAATAAATACACGTTTAAACAATTCCGACACGTCATCTAGCGTTGTCTAATGAGGAACCATAATTATAGAATAATTATAGAAAAGTAAAATAAAATTAACCAATAAAACATTTACATAAAGATCATAATTATTAAATGGAACAAATATTTTTACCTGTATTGAAAACATTATTATTCTAAAGGTGTGAATGGCGAACTGATTGGGTACCCACAGTTTATGTAGATCAAAATGCCTAAAACAAGAACGTTTGGTTAAGAGCATAGACGTAAAATTTCGGGTCAATGCTTTTTAAATGCATTCATTTTTTTTCGAATCCTGAGAAAACTATTAAATATTTTTGAAAAATTTAAACGCAGAATGAAAGACTACATTATTACCGAAGGCCGATAGTTCCTTAGAATAAAGAAAAAGTTTCTTTTGAATGAGATATTTGAAATTAAAAATCACACTTAATTTTTTCTTTTTTTTCTACCATGTAACTTAATAAACTAATCGTTATAGAAGTTTTCAGGGACTTTCTGCCCTCGGTAATAATGTTATATTCCATTGAACATCAAATTTAAAAAATAATAATTAAATCACGGTTAAAACTCTGTAAAAAACTATTCATTGTAACCTACCTAAACACTGGTCTGAGTACAGCTCTAATATGTCCAAATGAAGCCCTTCCTACCAATTCTCTCATGCAAGTTTCTGCCAACATTGGCGGATCCAATGTATCTTCTGGACCAATATCAACAGTTTCAGTTTCCTTTTTGTGGAAACCTGATTCCTGGAAGATAAATATTAAATTTAATTGAATTAGAAAATTAAGAAACATCTTATGTGAGTACCTCCATAATCTATTCTGATATAAAATACCATTAAGGGGACAGTCTCATGCGGAACTTTCAAAAAATCAATTTTAATTTTTTTTTATAAATCGCTTCCATTTACATTCAAAAACTCCCTCCTAAAATTTTAAAAAGAAATTCCCACTAGAATATAAGTTGTAGTTATTTTATTAACGTCATCTACGCACGTATAAAAACCGGTTTCCCTCCGCGCGGCGAGCGCGAGGCTCCAGCTGTTCTTGCTTTTGTATATATGTTGTATATACGTTGGATATGTATTAGTGGTTCATTTTTATATAGTATGTATATCTGTATAACGTTTGGCAGTTACTATACACATTTGGAATTTTAAATCCGGAAAATAGGATTTTTTACAAATACTAAGATTCTCTGCGTTGCAATTAATCAGTGTTTCTTTATAACGTCGCGATGTTTTATAACTAATTTATTTGTTCCACTGGATTTATAGTTCCACTTCTCCTCAGCGTTTTATAGTAGCGTATATGGTACGCCGACAGTGTTGCTCCGCCTACCGATTTTTCCTGAAAGTCCGGTTTTGTTCAGATAATAAATAATGTTTTATTAACATCAATTTTGTTTGTGTTCATTAGATATTATTTCACTTATACAATTTACACTTAAATACATTTATTAATCCAAATATTGTTTATAATTTCAAATTAAAAAGAGTGTAATATTATTTTTAAAATTCCTTTTTATTTTTAATTTTAGAAATCAACTTTTTCTTCAAGCCGTTTTGGCAATAAAACAACCATTTTTTTAGTTATAAAATATTTTCATATCTACATTTATAAATAAGTACGTTTTTGTTGAATTGACATGCGATCTAGGTGTGTTCCGTTTTTACACTTACACTGGCAGCATCGCGGCGTGAATTGAGAGTGAGACTCCAGTCAAACAAATGAATTAATTATAAAACATCGCGACGTTGTATTGAAATTTACAGGTTTACAAAGCTATTTACAACAACTGTTGGATGAAGACGGTCCTCAATATTCACCAGGAATGGCCGATTAAACGTGAGTATAAAGTTATCAGCCTTTTATTCACGAAAATTATGTAAAAAAAAACTTTAAATGCATTTTTCTCAAAAGTAACATTTTCAAACTGGTCAGACACTTTTCTCCGAACCTTCTTAACCGATTTTAAAAAACCAAAAATTTTTCGAATGTATATAGAAAGTACTAGATGATAAACCTTTAAAATATTTAAAAACCACCCTCCCTTTTATTATATATGGGTAAATCCACCGAAAATGTGATTTTTCGACTTTTTTGAAAAAATTCGTATAAACTCTTCAAAATAATACAATTTGCATATTTTATAGGTTTATCATCTAGTTTTGAGTCTCACGAATACAACCCATTTTGAATTTTTTGAATATCTGTTACAGGTGACCCACAAAGTGTCTTACCACCAAAAACGCACTTTTTACTACACGCCATCTAGAGGACACCAATGAAGTTAAAATCGCTATTAAAAATTTTTATTATGTACTTCAAGAATTACTTAATCATCTTCAAAAGGAATTATGTTAATAAATATTATAGTTTTTTTTGTGCTTTAATTTTAAAAAGCGTCTTTTTTTTGAATCGCATGAGACTGTCCCCTTAACAGAAGGAACAGGAACAGCCTTCTGGGAACAGTTTACAAAAAGGGTGGAAAGGACTTCTACCTTTTCTTCTTTTACAAAAAGGGTGAAAAGGACTTTCTACTGAAAGATACCTGACGGAACTGTTTAAAGGAAAAGAAAATAATAATTAACACAATCATCATCATCCAGCTCCATTTTCACATCCATTGTTGGATATAGGCCTCCTCCAAACGTCTCCAGTTCTCTCTATCTCTAGCTGCTGCAATCCAGTTTGTTTTTATTCTCCTTAGGTCGTCGGTCCATCAGGTGGGTGGTCTGCCTCGACTTCGCTTGCCGGCTCTTGGTCTACACTCCAATAATCTCTTCGTCCATCTTCCGTCTTCTATTCTAGCAACATGTCCAGCCCACCTCCACTTTTGTTTATTGATTCGCAGTATATTGGGATTTGGGATCGATGCTTCAGGACGCATTTCATTGAACAGTTGGTCATATGATAGTTCTAAAGGTTTGTTCAAAAACATTTCAAAAGGAAGTAGATTGGTTATCATACACGGTGGTGAGCAAATGGGTGTCATACCAAATGACATCAGGCGTATATTAAAGGTTTATCTACTGGATTAAAATTTCCTGCTTTTTTTCCTAACATACAGAACGGACAGGTGCCACAAAGAGAAAATAGTTTACGAGCAAATGTGTTTTTTCTAGTTTTCTGAGAACCAGAAGTCAAAACTTTCAGTTCCACAATTTTATATACTATGACATATAGTGGTGGATCATAATTAAGTGCTTTTCTGTATCTATTGCAGTTTTGGATGCACTAATCCCCAGATGAAAACAAAGGGCAGAATATTAAAGGAATGATTTGTTAAAAATTTTGTCACAATTCAAAATCATAAACGAGCAGTTAAAAAAAGTTAAAAATAACTTATTAAATAACTATAAACTTTATCTTACCTGCATGTTAAATAAAAGACTCGGAACGATTTTATCCATATGGACAGGTTCCCAAATGTTCTCCACCAGATCATCAGAAACCGTTTTCCTAACTACAGCTTGTAATCCTTTGATACCAGCAGTCCGTATTTTATCTCGAACTTCTTCTTTCTCGCCGCTATGACACATAGCTGAAAATTTACTAACGAAAAAGTCATATCTTCTATGGTACGACGGCGTGTCTTCTTCTATATTGGCGAATTTCACAAACTAAAATTAAAGCAGAATGTAAATCTGAAAGTATTACTATAAAATTATGTAGTATTTCATTATTCATAATAAAGTAAATGGTATTTAATTTGGTGATAAAACGATTCAAGTATATTTTGCTCTATAGCTGCCATTGATTCCAAAACATCCAGAAAAGTTTAGAGAAGCATTAGCAGAAGCTGACCTACAGACTACCGGAGACCCTGACCAAACGGGGCAATACACAAAGAAATCGATCACTGAAGCCATCAACAATACTAATCTGAAAGACAAAACAGTTAAGAAAAAACATTGGATGATTAAGAGACTCTTAATCTTGTAGAAGAAAGACGAAAATTTCACACCAAATTCAAAACAAAAAGAAATAGAGATATGCACCAAAAATACAACTATAAAACACTTGTACAGAAGGGATAAAATTATATTAAAAACATATACAGATTGGCCCAAAAGTCTATAACTCTATATTCGAGATTCATCGATATTTCGTTGCGTTAGTTCTGCAAAACTTGCTGGTTTAGTTTTGTAAATTGAATTTTTCAAGTATCCCCAATAAAAATAATCTTTAGGATTGAAATCAGGTGAACGTGGAGGCCATTCAATTCTACCTCGTATACCAATCCATCGTCCGGGAAATACCTCTTCTAAATAACGCCGAACATTTACATCAAATTTTGTAAAATTATGACAAGCAATTTACAATTTACGAATTTACTAGATAGATACCGATCAGTTAGACCGAAAAGAGTTATAAATGACAACAAAACTAGATAAAGTTTTGTTGAAGATCCACATACATCCTCACGCAGGGTTGCGCAAGTACATGATGTAGGTAGTTCTTCAGTCTTACATGTATTACATAAGAATATTTTTAAACGATACAAAATTAACTTCTTGCAAGAATTAAGTGAAGACGACTTCGATCGTAGATTAGAGTTTACTGAGGTAATGATGGATAAAATGGAAAAGGATAAAAATTTCGCTAACAGAATATGTTTTTCCGATAAAGCAACCTTTACACTGTGTAAAATTGTAAATCGACACAATTTAAGGTACTAAAATGACATAAATCCACACTGCATGCGTGAAAACCAAACTCAAAGACCACAAAAATTAATTGTATGATCAGGTATAGTACGTACTAAGTTAATTGGGCCATTTTTTATCGAAGGAAATTTAACTTCAGATAATTATGAAATGTTACTTAGAAATGAAATTGTAACTACACTGATAAACTTGTTTGGTGCCAATTTTAATTAGGTATGGGCAAGTAGGAGCTCCAGCTCATTTTGGGGTAAATGCTCGGGGTTATTTAGAAGAGATATTTCCAGGACGATGGATCGGTAGACGAGGTAGAATTGAATGGTCTCCACGTTCACCTGATTTCAATCCTAGAGATTATTTTTATTGGGGATACTTGAAAAATTCAGTTTACAAAACTAAACGAGCAAGTCTTGCAGAACTAAGGCAACGAAAAATCGACGAATATCGAACAAATTCTAGACAATCATGAAAAAATGTGGTAGACGCATTCTACCATCGATTAGGGTACTGTCAACTCACAAATGGAGCACATTTTGAACACTTGATAAAGTAACCATTGTGTTCAAAAATGTAATCTATCAATTGTTACGTTTTAATGTAGTTAAAAATGGTTAGTATTAAAAAATTTATTGAGACCATTAGGCGTTGCCAGACTTCTGTTTTATGTATATTTAAGACCTTCCAGACTACATAATATCATAAGTGTTACATATGGTTGAACTCGTATTGAAAAGAAGATTCCAATAACGAGTGAATATACAGGGTGATGAATTTGAAAAACCAAAGTTACTAATAATATAAGAGAAACGGTAAATCTGGCAACATTGCAAATATCAAATATGGAATCTCCGTATCCCAAAATAGATGTACCTCAAATTTTGTATAATTATGTCTGATAATTTACGAGATAATTGGCCGTTTCCAGACTTTTGGGCCACTCTGTATGTACAACTTGAGGAACATGCTGACCGCCAAGAATCTAGAGCACTTTTCTTAAAAGTCAAGTATATAGCGAAAGAATTCAAACCGCAGACACAGATCATCAAAGATAATAGTGAAAATACCATTACAAACCCAGACGGTATCGCAGAGGTGTGGAAACATTATTGCAAAATACTATTCTCTAACAACGACCCAGACAATAATACAGAGAAATTAAGTTATAAAAAAACTAACCTCAAATATTGAAATCAGAAATTGAGGCGGCAAGTAAAAAGCTAAAATTCAGAAAAGCAGAGGGAGAAGATGGAATAACAGCTGAAACACTCAAAGAAAAGCAAGAATTAGGGACGGAAGTAATGCTTACAATTTACAATGGGATCTGGAACACCGGAAAGTGGTCAAATGACTGGGGTAAACACACGTTTATTCCCATATATAAAAAAGGTTCGCCGACAGATTGCAGTAATTACCGTACAGTAGCATTGATTTGATTTCTCGGCAAATTTTATTAAATTTTTGATCCAACGTAAATCGAATAGAGCCACCTACAAAACGCATTACCAAATGCCAAAGATGCTTCAGTTTTGTTATAAATAAATAAATTTAACCATCTAAATTCGGAAATCGTTTTTAAAAAAGATTTTATTATTTTTTTAAATATTGACATGAAAAATTTATGAAGTGCTCTGAATTGCAGTTTTGTTCAGATAGGCAATAAGTTTTTAAAAATAAAAGGTCGATAGTAGATTAAGTGACACATTAAAAAGCAACAAATATAATGTTATATGCAGCATGGTGATAAATAAGATGCACACTGAGAAAATTGTGGCCAAAAGCAATTTTCGAAGATTACGGAATTTTTGAAAGATTAAACGTGGGATCAAAGTTAGTGAAACGCATTAAGTAAAAGTTGCTATAATGGCATAAACAAGCTAGAAATGGAGAGTCGATGGGATGGATAAAATACCAAAAAAAAAATCATAAAGGAAGAAGAAAAAGACAGATTAAGAAGATTATGGATATGTGATATCAATAAGAAAGGAAAAACATAACAAAAAACAGCATTAGTACATATTGACATAACACTTACCGATTGTGTGGCTAAAATTTGCAACTCCGGTTCTGTAGATTCCAACAATTTTTGAACCATTTTCAAAAAACTTTCTACAAACAAATTCAGCGTCGGTGCATGGCATGCCAAAAGTAGTTGGTCCATGGCTTCCATTGCAATAACAACAAAACTGAAATCGAAAGAACAAAACAATTTCAGTTCATTTACCCTTACTATTGATTTTTGATGTGCAAACATGCGATCTTAATAATGAGTAATGTTATTAGTGTTGTGGGTGGACAAGCACGGGGAGAGTTTTAAGTTATTGATTTACTTTTGATAAACTTAGTTTTCTGAATGAATGTGTAGACGAATAGCATATTTACTAATATACACTGTGTCCGTAAAGTATGGAACAAATTCTTTTTTAGCTAAACAGAGTATTTTAAGAAATAATCCTGAAACACGTAGATTTTTAATTTTAATTTACCGTATTTTAAAATAATATTCTAATATACAGGGTGAATTACTTTCAAGTAATGACGTCACCGTCATTTTTTTTAAATTGAATACCCCAATTTTGTCTCAATTTTCGGATTACTCTAGCTGAGCTGATTCCAAAAATGTATCACATGTTGATTCAAATTGGTACAGGGTGGACAAAAATACAATAGTATTGTGTGTGTTCCTAAAGTAACGCGCTAGTTAAATTCACAATATTATCAAAAATACTTATTGTCTAGCGAACAGAATATTATGATGAAATACATGACTTTATAAATGTTCGAACTACAGCCCTTTCTGTATTTAACAGTAACCCAAACGTTGTACAAATTCTTGTTGAACCTTGTTTATTGTGTCTTGAGAAATATTGTTTATTGCTGTTCGAATTGTCTGTTGTAATTCTTGAATATTTGCTGGTTTCGTTTGATACACAACGTTCTTCAGATGGCACCACATAAAATAATCCAAAGGATTTAAATCTGGTGACCTCGCTGGCCATTCAACAGGTCCACGTCTACCTACCTTCTAACATCTACAGCATAATGTGGAGGTGCACCATTCTGTTGCAACCATAAACTGATAAATATGATAAATATCCAGAAAGACCTATAACGCGTTCAACAGTAAGATTGAACAGAAATTTCGAGAAACTGGTACGGTTGAAAATGCACGGAAATCAGTTCGTCCCTCTGCAAATGCTGATACAGCATTAGATGTTTTACTTAGTTTTGAAGAAGATGCGCACACTTCTGTGCGTAAAGTTAGTCGCGATATCAGTAAAACAACGGTACACAAACTATTAAAAGTTGAAAAATGGCATCCTCATAAAATCAAACTTGTGCAGGAATTAAACGAAGATGATCCAGATAGAAGAATGCAATTTTGCGAAGCAATGATGGATAACTGCCACCGAGATCCTCTCTTGGTACAAAACATAATTTTTTCTGATGAGGCCCCTTTCACGTTAAATGGCGAGGTTAACCGTCAGAATTGTAGATACTGGGCAAAAGAAAACGCCCACTGGATGCGTGAGCATTATACACAATACTCGCAATAGGTAAATGTATGGGCTGCAATTGTAACAAATCGAATCATCGGACCCAACTTTATCGAAGGTAATTTAAACGGAGCAAGGTACCTTGAGTTTGTAAGAGGATATCTCGTATCCACTTTTCGTAATTTGTTTCCCAGCAGACGTAATCCTGAAGGTTTTGATAAAAGTTAATGGTTGCAACAGGATGGTGCACCTCCACATTATGCTGTAGATGTTAGAAGGTACCTAGATGAAATTTTTCCGAACAGGTGGATTGGTAGACGTGGACCTATTGAATGGCCAGCGAGGTCACCAGATTTCAATCCTTTGGATTATTTTATGTGGAACCATCTGAAGAATATTGTGTTCTATTTTTTAAGGTTTGTTTTTTGGTTTATTAACTATTTAACGATTTCCCCATAAAGATATACATAAAAGAACTTGGAAATCTCCTGATAATGAAACGATTGACCAAAAAATCATATAATCATCGATGCAAGACACAACTTATTAGAGGTTAGGTCTTTTAGAGGAGCAAACATAGATAGTGGTCACTATTTAGTTAAAGCACGATTTAAAGAGAGAATATCCAATTTAAAAAAGGAGATCGAGAGAAGGAGAGAAAAAATCAACATTAATAAACTAAAAGATCCTGACATTGCAAATATATACAGACAGCAAATAGAATATCAAATAAGGACAAAAAACTTAGAAGAAGAAGAAGAAGAAGAAGAAGAAGAAGAAGAAGACATTAATCAACTATGGGCAAATCTACGTGTTACAGAAATCGGTTGAAATATTGGACAAAACCAAGTCAGAAAAAATAAATCATTAGATTGATCATGAGCTCGAAATGGTCACAAATAGAAAGAACACAGCATATCAAAAAACCATCGATGCAGGTTGTACACGGAGAACAGAAAAATAAGAGTATAGACGTCTCAGAAGAGAGGAAAAACGTATCCATCGACGTAAGAAGAGGGAATACCAATAGAACACTCTCAATGAGATACAAAGTTTATTCGATAAAAATGAAACGAGGAAATACTACAAATCCTTAAATAATAGCCATCGAGAATTTAAACCACGATTAAAAATTTTTAAAGACACTAATGGTGAAATTCTATGGGCACAACATTTTAGCGAACATCTAAATATAAACGATATTAAAGGAGGTTACAACATAGAAAATCAACAAAATCTACAACGTCAACTACACAGTGAAGACCCAACAAGAGAAAAGTGTCAAATGCCATCCTAAAACTCAAAGACAATAAAGCCCTAGGAATCGATGAAATCTGTTCGGATATGCATAAAAAAGGTGGTGATCAACTTTTTACAGCAATCCATAAACTAATAGTACTTATATGGCAGAATGAATCGGTACCAGAAGAGTGGCTAAATGGAATAATAGGGTGATCAACTGGAGTGTAAGAACTATAGAGGCATTACTGTGTTAGCATCTGCATATAAAATCTTCGGCAATGTATTGTTTGAAAGACTTAAACATTTTACCAAGGCTATTGTTGACCAATATTAATGCGGATTTACTGCTGGAAAGTTAACTACACATCAAATTCAAGAACATAGGCAGATTCTAGAAAAGTCACTTGAATATAACATAGATACACACCTGGCAGTAAGGCATTTGCATAAGCGTTTGACATTAAGGCATCCTGTCAGTCTATTTGTTCTTTGTACTTGCAGCCACAGCCACTCAAATACGTGCCTGAGACCAGAAATGAATTCGGGCTTCGGTGCAAAAAAAACTAGATCTGGGTGAATATTAGCCCATCTTAGTACTCGAGATAAAAAATATAGAGGAACATAAAAAGTTTGGCTTACTTGTGTTCTATGGAGATACATGCAGACCAACCTGCTCAAGTAGCTGAAGACACAAGACTGTATAATTAATTATGCCATAAAGCATCTTTGCATCTTTAATTAATTGCCGGTCATACAATGAGAGAATACCAAGTTGGGTTTCAATTTGATCATAATTTACTTGACTTAATTTAAGGGTATACCCTGTTTATATGTTACATATTTCAAGAACAGGAAGTCCACAAACACTAGTATATTACATTCAGTTGATCTGCTATTCCGAAATCAAAATTGTTGATCTACTAGCTGTCTTTCAAGTGAAGCTTTAAGATAGTCACATACAAAACATTCAAATATCTTTGGTATTGCACTAATTGATTATACTATTGGGCCTGTAATTATTCACCAATGAATTAACTCCCGCTTTAAAAATAGGTGTTAAAAAACTATTTGCCAGCAATCTGGAAATTCATTATTATTTAAGGATAGATTAAAAATGTGAAAAAGATGTCTAGATAATATAAAACAACAATTCTTGAGAAATTGGGAATGTCAAAGTGAATCACTGGGCATGTCACATATTTGAGAAGTAGAAGTAGAAAAATATTCTGCAAAGATTTACAATATCTGGTCCGTGACTGGATTCAAGACCACCATAACTCAACACAGCAGGCAAGGAAGGCTTTCCCCTCTGTGAATCCACAAACGACCAGAATCAGCTTCAAGAGGTTCGAGACAATAATGTAAGTGTATTTACAGTTCGTTGAAGATTACATGAATGTGGTTTGCAAAGTTGCAGACCAGCAACTGGGCCCAAATTATTTCATGCCACAGAGTACCTAGACTACAATTTTGCAGAGAACATTAACATTGGAATTTAGGACAATGGAGTAATATTCGGTTTACTGATAAGTCGAGATATTGTCTTCACTTATCAGATGGAAGTGAACGAGTATGGCATAGAATTGGAGAAATATTTGCGGATTGCGCTTTCACTCCCCACGTTAGCCATGGAGGGTGTTCGGTGATGGTATGGACAGGAATATCCCGAGAAGCGCACACTGAATTGGAATTTATTGAGGATTCGTTGACTGCGCACCAGTATATATTAACGAAATTTTAGCGAATCATGTAGTACCCTTTTCTAAATATATCACGCATTATTTAGAGGAAGTTGGTATTAATAAAATGAACTGGCCAGCCTGTTCACCAGACCTGAACCCAATAGAGCACGTTTGGGACATGCTCTGTAGAAATATTAGAGGTCGCGAAGTCGCACTAGCCTCAATTAACGAACTTCACTTGGCTCTAGAAGAGGAATGGCAAACACCCAGCAAGATGATATTCGCAACCTCATAGACACCATGAGCCATGTACAGGGGGAGGCTAGGATAGAGGCTAGGGGAGGCAAAAGACATTTAAGTTATTTTTTTTGTTTTGTTATTGTTACCATTGTTCATTAAAATCAAGATCATGTCGTTTCTTTCAATCATTATTTCAATAAAGTGCTTCTGGGATTTCGATATGGCATTCCTTCGATATCAGTCACCAAAGCCCCCATCATCGTATTACAAATTAATATAAAAGATAATGGTAATAATACGAAAAATTCTTAATTGTGGGTGGCAAAGTCATTTCGCTCCTCAAATGAACCAATCCACATTTTCACATGAACCAAAAAACATAATACTTAGAAGACATGGTTGCAACCAAAAGACAAGGTTCTACGAAAATCCGCTAACGAAATTATTCCACAGGATGTTTCAAAGTTAGGATAAAAAAACCACCTTTTAATTAACCCCATATAATAAGTCAAATACAAAATTTTATTAAAAAACTCGCTATATTAAATTAAAATTTATAAATTTTTATACAGTGTGCTAAAAAATCATCGAAATAGGGATAAAAATAAAAAAAACTGAAATACTTTGAATTTAACCAAAATTTTCTGTGTTTTTTGCATCTGAGTCTATATGGGATAGACTAAAAAGAAAACATAACACAGAGCTGATCAAAGTGACAAAAAGTATATGCAGGAAAACAACGACACAGCAAGAATGTAAAATATGTACCCAGAATCATTTTAAATAACAAAGGTAATAAGATAAGGACGGACTTTGATCCCAATACTGTTTATAAATGTAATAGATGAGATACTGAAAAAATCTAAGAGAATGTTATAAAAAAATCGTCATTATATGTAATATAATTCAAATGATATATGGAGGGATATGCAAATTTTTCGATATTAACAAAAGTCAACTTTTGTTGATATAGAAGTCATTTTGATTTTAGTAGATATACATTAGTATATATTACATTATGCTCATTTACTAACACAATTATTGTTTATTTGTTTTTTTGAAAAGAATGTGGTTAAAAATTTCATACTCAAACAAAATTATTGTTTTCTAAAACAGTGTCGCATAGTTATCATAATTAAAAAACAACATATGTGCATAATTTTACAATGAAGATGATATTGTTGTTTTAATGAGTTGGTTGCATATATTAACTTAATTATTTACAATGTACTTCAAAATTATCTATGCATTAACAATTTTGCACTACTTCCAGACACTATTTTGTAGGTATAATTTTAAAATCATATTGAATTTGGTGTTATACTAAGACAAAATACATACAGATAAAAGTCATTACCATTTTTCATTTTTTTAAACATGATGAGAATCAATTGTCTTCTGATTGCTTGTACAACAATAAATCTCTCAACACCATATTTGTGTATTCATAAACATGAATTATGTATTCAGATTTACTTACAAACATAGTTAACATACTTTTTACTTAAATTTAAATATTACAATCAAATATATAGAACAATAATGTTATATGTTTAACACATTACCCAGTTTTTCATGCAAATAATTTTGCATTCAACATTAACTAGATAAAGAAACAAAGAATAGTCAAGCTGTATATCCCTATTAAGGATTATTACATTGCATTTACTATTTCAAAGCTACTGATGAATTAAAACATTAATAAATATAGAAGAGGAACTTCGAATAATATACAAAAAAATATTATTTACCAAATGGAACATTGTGAATTAGGTCAGAGGAATAAGCCTTTTCACATGACTCTGATCAGGCCAGGTATTTCATAAGTTTTAAAGTAGTATGGATCTATAAGACAAAAACCAGCATTGTAGTTTTTTCTAATTATCCAGTAAGGAATTAATTATTTACATGGACAGAAAAACTTCAATGAGGAATAATATGTCACATTAACAGTTCAAAGTTATATGAAACATTGAACTTTTAAAAAATTATTAGTTATTATTCTTTTTGGACTTATACGTTTTTTTTTTAATATAAATGCCAATACATTAAAATATTTAATTGTTAGCAGTTATTTCATTTTCAATGTACCTATAGAATGGTTTTGTAGTTTTTATTTACATCCATAGATATCATGTGTAATTGTCATTTGTATTAATAGATCATTAATTGGAATTATACAGTTTTTCAAGGACTCTGGTGTAATTAAACATGCACTAAGGTGATATTGGGGTAATGTACGTAGTTTAAAATAAAACAGATGATATAAAATATGGTACTTACCCGTATTTCCTCCTGTAAATATCTCTGGCGGCCCTCTGATACAAGTATTCCCCAATTCTGTCCAATTTTTCAGGAGAACTGAGTGAATAAAAAGTGAGTTTTTCCATATTAGACTTAACCAGTCCATCTTGAGGATATACTGGGAATATATTGTCAACCAGCCTCTTATATCTCGGTCTAAAAGCGCTACAACATCCGCAACAACCTAAAATAAAAATCAATATAGATTCATGTTAGATTTACTTAATTTGATAATTAATACTACCATTCCACATCTTTACTAGTTATGATTACAAGTCCAAGGTAGAACTACGATTATATCATTTAAAAGGTAATATTTTTTTGAACTATGAACGGATATTACAAGTTACAAGTTTCCTGGGTTGTGTTTAATTTGTTATTCATAACATCGAAACTTCAACTTCAAACTCTAGCATATGTCAAGTTTTAAATTGACAACTAAAAATGTGAAAGTAGAGTACACGGCATACCAACCTAATACACCTTGCTTCCATATTTTGATTCTAACATAGGCAGACAGTATTACACCAGGCGATAATTTTATATCAGTAGCGTAGATTTAGCACTAGAAGTTGGCAAGATTCCTATGAATTATATTTTCGATGTAATAAACGCTTTGTTTAAATATGAATATTTGTTAAATATCGAAACTTATTAATGTAGATATACATTTGTTTAAGTACATAAATATGTTTAGGAAATTTTTTTAATATTTTTAATTTATGAGCTAATAATCTAAGATCCCTCATAAAATGAAACTAATTTGTATCGCTATACATACCGAACAAATCAACTTAAATATTAAAGTTAATAATGTTATAAATGTTGAGCAATAAGCTATTTTTTATAATATAGTCTACTAAGATGCATCTACTTTGTACTGTTGCTGACCTTTTCTTGCTAAAATGCAACAAACATTAAACACTAGCAATGCTGTAATTTACTGAAATGTGTACTTAAAAAGTTCTTCTTTTCATCAGACGACACATAGCTTTTTTTTCTGAATGTAGATATTGATTATATCTTAAAAGTAACTCTCCTTGCTTTATTTATTTTAGAGTGTAACAGATACAGGTGAAAATAAAAAAAATGTGTATCTGTATTCCACAACACAACTGTCAATTTTTTGAGCTTAGATTGCTCATATTAAACTCAGACAGCAACTTAAGCTGATAATAACGGGGACTTGAGATTAGGATCGGTTTAAGCTGAAAATTGATCTAAGACTCAATGGTGCAATGAGTATGTTTCGTAAGCTGAGCTTAATTCACGTCTTAAGCTTAAGATATGTTGTTGCAACCAGGCATAAGAATCGTATGAAATTTGGTAAATGTGTCTAGCATCACTAATAGAGCAAGTTCAATAGTTTAAAAATTTAGTCTCGGGGATAAATAAATTAAATACCTTTTAAACTATTTTACCCATCGGGGAAAAATTTCGCACAAATTTAAAAGACGGTAAGTAATTCCTCGATGTTCAAATGTATTAATCATTTTATTTTGTTAATAAAAAAATTAAATTTATAAATTAGCGCAAAAAACTGATTTTTTGCAAATATCTCCGTAAATTATTTATCAATTTTAATTTAAAAAACGGAAAAATAAAGATATTCTTGATATAAAAAAATTCGCCATGTAGTAACCCCCACCTATGTCTTAAAGTCTACAGATATCTGTTAAACAATTTTCGACCATTTTTAACCAAACTGGGCTACTGGTTTCTAATATGGAAGATTTCCTGTTACCTGTTACACTTCTTCTATACATTACATTCTTCTTTTGGTTAAAAACACATTTCGGGTGTCTTTCCGATGTCGTCTTGAGGTTTTTTGCGTGATTGTGTTTTAAGTCGTAGTCCACAAGGGTGGTTTTAAGGGGAAGCTTGAGGATATAAGTGGTAAAACTTTTTTGCATATTTTTGAGGTCCCCAAATTGACTCGCAGCAAAATTCAGCTTTAATAGAAAATAGTGGAATTCGCAAATACCAGCTAACCTTTGCATTAAATACATTAGAATTTGTATTATTTTTTCAGATCAGCAAGTCTTAGCGGTTTGTAAGAATTTTATGATTTTCACCTGCCACAGAGTGTAGATAGGTCAATGATTAGTTTGCAAATCCCTTCAGCTCTATCATGTCATCATCATCATTCGTTCCACAACCCATGGTGGGTCTTGGCCTGCTAAAGGATAAGTCTCTATTCTCTCCTATTCTTCACCTTGGCTTTCCAGTTTCGTACTCCTAACATTCAACATTCTCAAGTCTTCATCTACGGGTGTATTTATACTAATTCTGTGAAGAGGATTGGTATTGATTTGACATAAGATAGAAACATGTCTAGAAGTGTAACTAGGGAAGCCGACTTTGCAAAAGATAAAGGTAAAGAGAATGATGATCATATGGATATGATCATATTGATGATGAAAACCAATAGGATCAATTAATCTAAATTCTATAATATACATAATTTTGGAAGAAAACCAACGTACCTATTCCAAAATGTGCCAATTTGCAGAAACACTATGTTGAAATATTAATCAATAAACAATATGGCAAAATATGTAGCATACTATTTTTTGTACTACGGGTATATCTGACGTCATAGCATCACTAAGTGACGACAGATTGACGTAATTATCTTGACCTGGGTAAAATGTTTCCCTCTAAATATTATATATTAATTCAAATATTGCTACATTTTAAACCTACATTTTGAATGTTGTATGAAAGAAGTTATGATTTAAACTTAGTAGTACGATATTGAGGATGTTTTAAAAATAAATAGTACTTACATCCAGATTCTGAACACTTTTGCAAAAAAGTCTCCATAATATCACTCATTTCGTTCCTATCAAAACAGCACTTAACCAAAGACATTTTACCAATTATTGCACACTATCCGATATCAAACCACTTCACTAATACCTTTAAGATTTCTCTCTACTTCGAAGATCACTAAACCATAACGCGGAAGAAATTTCTTCTACAATTATTGTGTTATTACATAAAGATATATACCAGTCTAATATTTGTTTTTGTTACTCGCAATCATCCTTATTTTAGGTAATTATTCTAAGTGGTTTTTATTGTTTAACGGAGCTAATGGTTTTCTTTCTTTCGGACGTGAGGGACTGACGCTACCGATATTTTCCTCAGTTCATTGAGATTTAACCTATATTATCCTCCGAGGGTTTGGGAGACCTATTAGCCCAATTCGCGCAAGTCTGCCCTTGATACGGAGACAAAGATAGGCCGATCTACTAGGGGAGAATATCAAATAAACATGTAGGTCAACAAATTTTAATTTTTTTGTTAGAATATTAAGAAAATTCGGTTTTTACTAATATAATTTTTTCTTGTTGGTTGCTGGTTTAAAAGCGCAGTTTTTATTGCTTGTCAAATACAGGGTGTTCCATTATAAAATGAATCCTGTTATCCAACAAGGAACTAATTGACATTAACTTAGTTTTGAAAAAATCAAGCAAAAGTTTTATTTGTTTGAAGGAATTATTTGGATAAAAAATAATGATAAACGACAAAAAATAAACACTTTTATTATAACTTACGGGTATTAATGCTGTAATAAAAAAAAAACTAAAAAAAGAAGTCCCAAGGTAAAAAAAAACACTTGGTTCTTTGTTGCAACATTAACAATCCGCGTCTGATTCGAAACACAATTTCCGTTAAATCGGTCTATATCTTAACTGTCGGCCATTTTGACCTCTGTCAAGCGATTTATGTTAAGTTTGGCTTGGCATTTCAACATGAATAAACTTGATGTCCGAACAACACTTCCACAATAGTCCATCAGACCAAATAATTCGAATAACCATGGAACGTTTTACACCACGTTTACACTAAATGATAATATACATCCACAAACACGTCGTACAGTGGACCTAGTTGCCCGCACAACACGCAAGCTAGAAGACATGTGTACCACCTTCTCAAATGCCTCAAAATATATGGGCCTGCAAGTAAATGAGGAGAAAACTAAGATGATGGCATCAACACCCAACAATAGAGTCAGGAACATCGGTCCCCAATTCACGGTTGATAACTCTACCTTTGAAGTGGTGGACAAATTCACATACTTAGGGTCCCTGATCACCAAAGAGAACGCCATAACGGAAGAAATCAAGCGAAGGATAATAATGGCAAACAGATGCTATTTTGGACTGAGTAGACATATGAGAAGTACAAACTTAAGCCAAAAAACAAAAATAACCATATACAAAACCCTTATATAGTTAGTGTTGACATATGGATCGGAGACATGGACCATCTCCAAGGCAGACGAAGACCTTCTGCTTATATTTAAACGAAGGATCCTGAGAGGAATATCTGGTGGCATCTGTGAAAATGGTGTTTGGAGGAGGAGATACAACTACGAGGTATACCACAGATATAAACAAATATTTGGTGGTAAAGACGTAGTATCTCTTATAAGAATAGGAAGACAAAGATGGGCAGGACATCTAGCAAGATCACAGCAGAACAACCCTCCTAGAAGAATCCTTATGTCACAACCCGTGGGAAGCAGAAAAAGGGGTAGGCCAAAACTCAGATGGAAGGATGGTGTAGATGAGGATGGTAGAAAGATAGGTGCAGCAAACTGGCAACGGTTAGCAATGAATAGGACTGCCTGGCGTAATAGACTTGGGAAGGTCGAGGCTCTTTCATAGGCCTGTAGCACCATTAATGATGATATATATATATATATATATATATATATATATATATATATATATATATATATATATATACGTTATTCGGAATACCCACATTTCGCAGATTTCCAATCATCTCACGTTATTTATTCCTAATGTCTATGCCATCGACATTAAATATCCAATGTTAAGGAAACTTTTGTAATAAATTCTTTTATTCGATCTGTATTGTTCTGTATTATTTTTAATTAATTAAATAAAAGAAAGCATTTTATGTATGAACATACGAATATCTAGGAACTTGGTCATTTGTTTCGTCAATAATTGTAGAACGAGATCACATGGAAATGGGGGTGTATATGGCTGGGGTATTTATTGCAAAACCTATGGTTTCAGTCGTGGAAATGGAGGTCAAAAGAAAACTACATAATTATTGAATCAGAATATAGTAATATACGCATAAGGAAACTTTATAATAAAAGATTTATATCTAATTAATAAAAGCGAGATTAGTCATTTAAGAAACATGACAGGAAAAACAAATTGGTATAAAACAAATAAAAAAGAAATTAAAGTAGCAACAAACCAAAATACAATAATAGGAATGGATATGTTGCTCGATTTTCAATGGGTTTCTGTACGTACAGTATTGTGCGAATTAATGGAATAATTGTGAATTTTTTTTTCATTTTTTCAATATT